GATGGAAGGCTGAGTCAACCTTGAGCCGGTGAGATTAGAACCGCTGAACTGCAGATAATAGTCAGCTGAAGTGGCCTGCAGTACTGCACTCTAACTACTGCGCCACCTCGGCTCTTAGGTTGTGCTTTGATGACATGTTTAATTAGAATTTACTCAATGATTTAGCTTTGTGGGTTTGTACTTGTACCATAAAGATAACCACATGGATTGGATTCACAATACATGCTAGACTGAAAAGTCATTAATTTGAGGTTCAGTGCACACATACCTGTAATCACAGTAGAACTTTACAACTAAGGTTTCATAAAACATCACATTTTAATCCCTGCGCATGACATGACACATCAACCATGGAAGGATTAGATCTACTTCACAATTTCAATCAGGACCTTGAATTAAATTGTGCTGAAGTACAGTTTTTACTGTGATTCTTCATTTGGTATCTGAACCAAAAAAATGGGAATGTATGGTAATATCCAATTTCTACTATGCATAAACCCACTTGGTTTTACTGCTGTGAATTGTTAGAAAAGTGAAATATAAGCTGCTGCTTATGAATTTGGACTAAGAAAAGCAAGAGACAACAATTGAAGATCAGAAGAAAGTATCAGAGATGAGCTTCAAAAATTTTTAAAGTGGCTAGGGAAAATATCTGGAAAGAAAATATAATGGAAATATGGTTGCAGGTTTCTAGCGGTAAGAAAACTTATAAGAAGAGAGCTTATAATTTGATAACTAAAAATAGGGTCACTTGAATTCTAATTCTGAGTTAGGTGTAGGCAACTGGGTGACTGAGCCAGTCAGTCTCTGCCCTTCCTGGGATGAAGCAACAGCAAAGCATGGACATGGACTTATCCATATTGTTTCCAAAAATCAATCAACAAAAATGATACCAAGGGAGGTCAAGAAAACTCCAAAGAAAAAGAGGATAGCATGAAGAGGGAGGCTGCTTATCCCATGGTCCCGTAAAGAAAATAAAGTTAAATTTCTCTCAATTTACTCATGGTTAATGAAGCTATGATTTATTGAAGCCAATTTTCTCAGTAATTAAATACAAGGGGTGAAATGACTGGTTTGTAATTCTGATATCTACCAAATTAATTGGAAAATAAACATATTTCACCATACATATGTTCATCTCAGAGATGGCATGAATGAGTTTAGAATTTTTAAAGTATAAACATTGCTCTTCCTATTTTGCTTTTGAAGCAGCTGCCTTAGTTTCTTAGACTACATGGATCTTTATGCCAGTAAAAATTGAGATAATTTTGATAAGTGATTGATGTATTAGAGGGAAAGATATTGTACACGTAGTATCACTCTTAGATAAATTAGATGAGGAAATAACAATTGAGAAATCAAACTAGGTCCATAAAATAATGCAGTCTTAGACATTCATGAGGAATGATTGCTAGACAAAATCAAGCTAAAATTATTCTTAGTGGTACATACCCTGCACAAATAATTATAAATAATCCACACAAGGAGAAAACATAGTAAATGAAAGAAGTTTTTATGTAAGTAGCCAATGTAGTAGTAATTTATTACAACACCTCTGATAACAGAAAATACATATTTAATGTTAGCATTTTAACAGGAATTCTTAAATGTCAGTTCAATAATGAAATGACTGAGCCCCTTCTCAATAACTTTAACCACTTGAGATTTAAATACATTCTTCTTTTCTATGAAACTTGTAAAAAGGTGGACCCCTCCTCCACACCCAAAATAATGGGCTTTGCTAGCTAAAAATATGGTCCCCTTCCTTGCCAATAAACTTGAAAGTGCATCATGGAAAACTTCATAGTAATTAGGATTATAAATAGTTTCTGAAGTAAGTATGAGATCGTATTTTACTAAAGGTTTGGTGTTATTTAAAATAAATGTACTAAATTCTGACCATTCTCCAGAAAAAAATTTGCATTTAGACAGAAAATCTTGGGTGAAGTCTTTTTTCCTAGATTGATTTAGGTGAAGCTGGGTATCTTCCTCACCATCATCATTTTGAGAATAATTAGCCAGTACGTTCGGTATGGTGATTCCTTCAATTACTGAACTGTTATAATCTTGAAAATGAACTTCTTTGGCATTTCCTTTCAGTGCAACTATTCCTAGCAGTCCAGCTCCACACCCAAGGTCCAAAACAGACTTCTGTGCAAACTGAATATCAGTTTCAGATAAATAATCCAGGAGATCAAAAGTGCATTCCCAAATCTTTAAACCTCCTTCATAGACACCTGTAATTAGGTCAGACTGAGAAGACATAATGCTTTCTTTGACAGAGTTTCCTGGGAGTGCAGTCTCCACTACATAAATATTTGCATAGTGAATGCCCGGTAAAGTTCCAATAGTTTTGTTTTCAAGGACTTTACTGACATCTTTAGGAATATCATGCACTTTGGCAGATTTGGGACAGGACTGTTTCCTCAACAAACTTGTATCAGGGCTTGCATTCAAAGTACTGTGGTTTGATATATTAGCAATGGTTCCAGATAAATAGTCATTTAATTTATTTTCTTCTGAGGTAATATTGCTGTTGTCTTGATTATTCAATAGGACCATTTTCTGCTGTAGCTTTTCATTCTCAGGAGTATCTGTTGTGTTTTCTGCTATTTTGTTCACAGAGAAGTTGAATTGAAATTCCATTGTCTTGAGAAATATACAGAAAATAAATAAGTTTACGTCTGCAGCATTAATATGCAAACACATACTGCTTTTGTTGGTACTTAAAAAGAAATGTACAAAGCCTACATTTAAAGTGACATTAACTTCTACAGAGTTATAGTTTCCACTATTTTTAATACCCTTACAAATGTATACATACATTTGTAGGAAGTTATCACCCAGCTCTCCCCCAGAAAAATGAAATATCCTAGGAAATATTGAAAAGGAAGAAACATGTTTTAAAAGACAGAATAGCTGCCTGCCCATCCCCCTTTGTCAATGAGCCATTAAAGCTGAGCTAGTCCACTTTAAATAATAAAGAGTTCTCCCCTTCAGCTCCAGAGTGATGGGATTAAGGCATGATAATATTGGCCCTTTATCCAACTCACCATATGGCATCTGAGAACTACCAAACCTGGATTCAAAACGCAGCTATAGAGTTGCCCCTCCATAGCCCCATGGGAGTCTGACAACCAATCCGTATACAAGCTCAAGATCAAAGGCCAGAGAGGGCATAAAACCA